CTACTCCCGGTCGCTGGTGAACGCGGGTGGATGCTGGTAGACGCTTAGTCAATACCTATACTTCCCTAATCGCTGACGCTGCCGGAACGCTCGGAACGCTAGTGGTCGCTGATAGACGCTGGTGGGCGCTGCCAAAAAGTATGAGTGCAGCCTGACCTCAAACTGGTTTGGAAAGCGTGAAATTTGAAAGGGACCTTGTTCACGATGATTCGCTATGGCTTTTGCTGCTCCTTTCGACATCACATGGACGACGTAGAGGGGACAATTGGCCTGCGATGCCATCGTACAAGCTCGATTAGTTGCCTCAGCTTCCAGCTAAAACTTTTCATAGCAAAATCCACAGTCGAAAAGAAAGTGCCCCGATATATAAAGTTGACCGCACCTCTTCTGGCCGACTTTGACGATGACCTTCTGGACCAGTGATACCTTTCTTCAGCAACATTTTCGCCCTTTCAGCGATCACGGAACCGTTCTCAGCATGAACTCGAGCTAGTGCCCCAATTTTGGAACATTTTAACATTGCTGAAATTTCTATTGGTCTCACTTGCTCGTTCATTCAGTATTCACTGATAAATTAGTGAAAAACAATTAGTAAAGCTAAAACTAAGAGAACCCAATCCCCACAAGCTGTTGAAGCTGGCAAGCGACCACAATCGGTGGAAATGGGACCAGAGCCACGCCAGACCCACCCCCGCCCGCTGATGCACCCCAGCATCCTCAGCAAACAGGACTACCTGCATTCCCAGCAATGTGTAATGGATTGGTGAGGAAGAAGACATATAGGACTTGGCCAGGGTTGACGTAGTAGAGCTAAACATGGCTTGATGTTGAAAGGACGCCAGGGTACTGTGAGGATCTAGTTTTGGCCCATAGGATGCTGCACCAGCTTGCCTGCCTTGAAACCTTATAGGCAGACTTTGCGATGAGCTATTGGAATTGTATGTGCTAGTTGGCTCTCTCGTGAAGAAAAAAATGGAAGGAAACCATCGAGAACACTTCAACTATTGAGACTCAAATATGGCCCTAGTTGTACCATGTGAATGACAAACAATCAATGTGGATATCGAGAGGGAGGCCAAAGGAAACAGCGAGAGAGCATGCAAACGATGGAGAGCATAGATAAGACAGCTATCACTACGGGCGGAGTCATTTGTGCTGCATTGTGCTCTACCGCCGCTACTTTATGACTTTCTGACGTGAGGCTCATACAGGGTCGTTCGTTGCAGTCCACACTACCTCTCCGCACTATGAGCTCAGACAGTTATAACAGAATGAGCTCCGCCTTTACGTTCACCAACGCCAAGCTCGTCACGAACTGAGACAAACATGGTACAAAAGTACGAATTTTTAAGCAAATAAGGACGAAAACTTCTGTGACGAATTACCTTGATAGAATTCCTCATCACGGACCATGTAAGTTCCCATGTAGGCCAAGAAAAATTTGAAAGAGTTAATACCTAGAAGTTTCGTCTATGAAGGTTGAGCATTGTTTTGACTGATTGATAAAATTTTGTTCACTGCGAACTATGGGGCGTGTCAGAAGATATGCGCTTGGCGCGGTGCCAGCCCTTTTTTCTTTTCTTTTTTTCAACAACGACAAGAGAGATTCACGTTGGCCGCAACTCATCAATTGTTATTTTCCGTGCTTTAACAACTGGTGGAGAACGGGATGGAGGTCCGCCAAGCCTAGCCTCAGTGACACGCCCCGTCATCTACAGCGAACAATACTTCAACTGTTAAAATGTATGTGAGGTAGTTCGCCCCGACCCCTCTTCGAAATTCTCTCTGCTTCAACACCCTTCTTCACTCCCTGTCCCCGAACCTAGCTACCATCATTCTGAATCTCTCCCACTTCTGACAACTTTTCCGGACTTCTTCCCAAAACTCTTCCATTTTCCATTAGCAAAACTGCCATGGGGAGCAGGGCACATCATTATTGTTTGGGGATTTTTGTCGAGTCCGTACGACCCCTTCCTTTTTTGGTACTACCCCCCTCCCCCACCACCTGATTCCCTCCTTATCGAGCTCTCGAGTTCGATCCCCCTACCTACCAATTCTTAGATTTTGCCCAACTTCCCACCACTTTTTCCAGAATCACCCGGAAATTTTCCCAGTTTCCCCAAAAAGTTTCCTCTTGAGCGTGGGGGTATACACTAGGAAAGCCACGAAAAGTCAGCAACCCTCTCAGGTCTTGAAGGAAATACGACCCCCCTCTCTTCATAACATCCCTGGAACGAGAAAAATCAACTATCAAAAATATTTCTCAGCCCAAATACGATCCCCCCCCCCTCCTTTGCTGGGGAATCCTCAACAACGATGTGGAGAGGGGAGAGGTATTACAAAGCGCCAGCGCAACGGGAGGACTGAGAAAAGTCATCAGCTAAAAACCCTCACGAAGGCAGTATGACTTCCATGCCCTCTAGTGACCAAATACCACCACTCTCTGGGGATCCCCAACGTGCGGCGTGCTTTGGCCCCACTCCCATTTGTTTACGTATGTAAGTTACTCTACTCTTTACTCTCTACAACTCTAATGCGCATCCGGAAGCCTTGCTGATAATAGAGCGGTAAAAAAATTGATAGAAAGGTGAGTGAAATTACTGTTTTTCTGCGCCGATCTCACACGATATCTACGTAATCGCTCTGACCAGAGTGTTGAGCCCCATTGCCAAAGCAGGCATATAACCGTGACAAACACTTACCATACTCTGGTCTCGTTAGTATTTCCATTTCCTCTGCAATTTTCGGACTCCAGCTTGTGATGGCCATGGATAGTCCATAATCACAGCATACCTGTTATCTTCGTTTACTCTTTTCAAAAGAATTTCATCTGTCATAGTATTTCCTTTCCAGTACTTTCTAGCCACTGGGCTAGAAGTTTCCTGGAGAGGTGAACCATTTCATGATGCTTGGTCGCCAATCTTTTTCCCTCGCTTTCTGTCCCCATGCTTTTATGCGCCCTTGTACATAGCTGCTAGTCGAAAACGCGCAGTGGAAAAGTGAAGGGAATCGAATTTACTGAAAGGAGAAAATTCTCCCAGATAAAAAATGTGAAGGCGCCGCAGATGTTTAACAAGTGAACTTCTGATGATATTGGTTACAGAGTTCTGTTGACATCCAAGGCTGTTTTTGAGGTATGTCCGCGGCAGAAGAACACTTGATCGGCGTTGAAAGGTAATATTGGCGCTGCAGGTGCTTGCCCACATGAGTTATGATGTTAAATGCAGAAGACTTGACAACTGCCGTTCAGCAATCCGCTCTTTTTCTCCATTCGGCTGGTTTGATAAAGTTCAGCAAAGATCTTTATTTGACGTGGAGGCGTCCCAGAGTCATTTTGCGTCGATTCTTTTGACTTAGGCCCACCCACCTCAGCGCAGGCTCCATTTACAGCGGATATGTCCCTCTTATTCTTTTCTCTGCTTGGCTTGGGGAGCCTTCAAGAACATCTAGGGAGTAGCGAAGAAGACGAAGAACACCAAGCTCCGCCCACCTCTTCGGTTCCGCGGTCCTCCCTGATTTGACTTACGTCTCGGAGACTTGGACTCTACGAAAGCAGGATGAGCATGCGGTTGGCGTTATTCAACGCGCCATCGAAAGGGCGATGCTCGGAGTTTCCCGCTACACGCAAGTGAGAGAGGGAATCCGGAGCTCCGCACTCCGCCAACGATCGAAGATCAGAGACGCCGCCGCATTTGCCAAGGTTTCGAAGATCAGTGGGCCCGGCACGTCATGCCTGAGGACGACCGCTGGAACCAGAGCGATCACCGACTGGATTCCACGGGATGTCAAGCGAACGCCTGGACGACCGCCTATGCGATGGTCAGACTTCTTCGTGAAAGCTCTGAACGAATGGTATGAAGTTCATCGTGTCCCTCGAGCAGAGAGAGTTCATTGGGCAACTCTTGCACGTTGCAGGGACGAATGGAGACGTTACTGGCGCCCGCTCGAGGAACTCGATGATCAACGGGAGCACATGTGAGGCGAGGTGATATTCTTTCCTCTGAACCCTTGCAGGACCACACTTTTTCCGGCCCCTCTAGTGCACCAATAGCGAACCATAAATCTTTCAGTTCAGTCCCGCCTAGCATGGCGCACGATCCTCCCACTTAAAATGTGTGTCTCTCATCCCTTCTCTGAACTTTCGCTAAGTTTATTCTACTTTTCTCGTCTCTGGAATGCACTGGAACCGAACTACAAATTTTTGAAGAAACTACCTTGCGCTTGAGGACTCGCTCCGCCCACTTAAGGCAGATCTCAGCACACCGCAAATAGTTTTAACTTTTGCAAAAAATTCTCAATCTCCAACCTAATTCCCCTTTTCCGAATCGCTTCGGGGGCCAAGTTATGACTTCTTGGAACAAGCATCACTAGTCTTGTGTACGTCCCACTCATTTCAGGCGCGTCTTCCTTATTTCCCTTATCTCACTGATCTACCCATTGCTGAGCACACATCTTTTTCCTTGAACTCTGAGCTGCAATGACAACGAATTGCGAAACTTGTCCTTGTCAGCGCTCACTTCCGAGCATGGTCCGCCCACTGTGGGCCGAGTTTAGGGTAAGTGCGCTTCCTACATCTTGGTTCATGCCCTATTCAACCCATAGCTGATCCGAACTCTCAGGGGAGGTGTTTAGGTAACGGCGAGCTCCGTTATAGAGCACTACCAACAACCAAACAACCTGGCGAAGGTGACCATATATAGTAGGAGGCTATAAAGAAAAGTACCTTGGGATCTGCCCACTCTCTCCATTGACGGTATGCTGCGATTGGAGTGGTGTCCTTCGTGGGGACCACAAAGTCAATTATCTAAACAGGAGAATCTTTTAACAAACATTCAGTACCTTGTACTAATTTGGTATATCTGGCAACTCAACCAACCATTGTTGTTCCACCAGCTAGAGCAGCCCGTGTGCCAGAGAAGAAGTCATCCATAGAAACTGTACCCATGAATGGGAACTGCATGTGAGTGTGAGGATCAATTCCACCGGGCATCACAAACAATCCTTCCGCATCTATTACTTGGATATCTGGATTTTCAGGCGTGATTTTTGCAGCCATTTCGCTGAAAACTCATTGCAATTGCTTCCTACATTCTTCCATAATTCCTATATGTACCTCAGGCTGTGTTCACGGCAGCGTCCACTGTCGAGCGTCCGGCAGCGTCAGCGATGGGAAAGCATAAATATCGATCTAGCGTCTCCCAACATTCGCCAGCGTCTACCAGCGTCCACCAACGTCTACCAGCGACCGGGAGAGGAGAGTGTTGCGCGATAGGAAGGTTGCAAGCAGCTGGTATCCTCATACCGCGCCATACTATTAGGTTGTCCGGAAAGTTCTCAGCGTTTTGTGCACCTATTTTTTGTACATTCACTGCTGATTAAAAACTCATTCTGCCTTGCTTCTCAGTAGCACATCCTGTAGAGAATTTCTTGCGCTATCTGATGGTATAATTGCCGTTTCACCATTGCTTGATAAACCCCCTTTTCAAGATTTTTCAAGCATGTCAAAAGAGCAACTTCGGACGATTTTTTCTTCAACTATAAATTGGGTCAATCCGCAGTCGAGACAGCTCGACAAATTAACCAGGTGTGGGGGCCCAATACTACTGGAGAAAGCACCGTGCGAAAATGGTTCGAAAAATTTCGTTCTGGAGATTTCAGCCTTGAAGATGAACCTCGTGGCGGTCGACCTAGGGCCATACCTGACGAGGATTTGAAGGCAGTCGTGGAGGCTGACCCATCCCAAACAGTTCGAGAGATTGCAGAAAAGCTAGGCGTTGGCAAATCCACTGTTGCAGATGGTCTGAAACGCATTGGGAAGGTGAAAAAACTCGATAAGTGGGTGCCCACAATTTGAGTGACCGGCAGAAATGGCACGTCTCGAGGTTTCTTCTTCACTGCTTTTGCGCAACAGAAACGACCCGTTTTTGGACCGAATTGTCACCTGTGATGAAAAATGGATCACGTATGATAACAGGAGACGTTCTGGGCAGTGGTTGGATGCCGACGAGCCACCCAAGCATTTTCCAAAGCCGAATCTTCACGAAAAAAAGGTAATGGTCACAGTATGGTGGTCGTCAGCTGGTGTGATCCACTATAAATTTTTGTCACCAGGCCAAACCATCACAGCAGAGTCCTACTGTGAAGAAATCGACGAAATGTACCGAAAATTGCGTCAGCTGCAGCCAGCACTTGTCAACAGAAACGATTCTTTTGCATGACAACGCCCGCCCACACGTTTCACAAATCACTATCCATAAATTGAACGAATTGGGGGTTGAAGTTCTACCACACCCACCATATTCTCCAGACCTTTCACCAACCGACTATCACCTTTTCAAACATTTTCAGAACTTCCCTTGCTGGAAAATACTTCACCAATCAGGACCAGGCAAAAAAAGCCTTCGTGGATTTCGTGGATTCTCGACCACCCAGTTTTTTCTTGATGGGATTTCTCGACTGCTTATTCACATTGGCAAAAGTGCTGATTCGAATGGTGCCTATTTCGATTAAATCCGATGAGTATTAAAAAAGTTACGATCGTTTAAAGTGAAACACCCAAAACGCTGAGAACTTTCCGGACAACCTAATACTACGGCACTTTGC